ATGTCATGCGGCTGGTGTTGACTTGAGTATGTCTCGCTCTTGAGAAGTAGCTCGCCTTTTGGAACGGAATAGCTGCGATGGCACCAAAAGCCAAGGCGGCCACCATCAGTCCGACATAGGGCGATCGCATTTTGTAGAATCTCGAAGACAACGAACCGAGTAGAACGATGATGAGAACGACTTGCGCGTAAATCCAGCCAGAGTAGACTGCGATGACGGCGAAACCAGGTTGACGAAGCATCTCAAGAGAAAGAGCGATTCCGTGATACATCTCCTGGCCCCACCATTTTGGGCCATCTTTGACACGATGCATCTTGACCTCGCCTCGTGCGAGTCTTCGAGAGACATCGGTACCTGTTCTCACTTCCACAACAGATCGTCGAAATGCGGATCGGCGGACTTCCGGACATAGGGTGTTCAGCAACAAGACGACAGCGATGAGGATCACGCTGAGATAGAAGCCCCAGGCTGGCTGTAGATCATCAATGACCCAGGCGCCAATCCAAAACCCAAAGCCGAGAGAGGCAATGAAACACCATGTCCAGATGCCGAGCCAGACTCCCATGCCACCTCCGTGTCTCCTTGAGTCGTAATCGTCGACAACTTCTTGATGAGGGTTGCTGCTCATGAGAGATGCACCAAAGAGGTCCGTCAATATGGAGTGAAAGTTCATGCTTGCAAAACCAAGGCAAATTCCCATGACGCACCGAGGCGCAAGCAACACAGTTCTCTATCCGGCGAGATTCTCGAATCTTTGGGCGTACACGGCCACAGCCTGCGGGAAAAGCAGCGGCATGGATAAAACCAAGCCGGATGTGATGTATGGCTTTCTTCCATGAACAAGGGGGAGAGGCCAGCAGAAGAATGTTGGAAGAGCCATGCCGAGAAAACAGCCAACATTGCCGTTGAGGATAGCATGGCCAGAGTCCCAAATGTAGTATTGAAGTGACGGAACCAAGCCAGCGTATATTCCAAGCAGCACTCCGATGAGCGCGGTGCTGATGCACGCAACTGTTGCAACGGCCCTCTTGCGAATAGGAGACCAGTCTCGAGCAATAGGTTGACGACGCTTCGACTTGGACAAGTTGAAGGCCTGAACGCCACGGAGACTGACGTGTGACTTGCCGCGGAGACTGATGCCACGAGTGTTATGTAACGGACGGCCAGCAATGTCTCGCTCTGGGAAGTTCGCCTCGCCGCCAGTGTTGCGAGACTTGAGCGGATTATGCTTGGCACTGGCTCTTGGACGAGATGGTACTCCACTCCTAGTACGAGTCCCGGGCTGAACTGGAAAATCAACAAACGAGGAGTCATCTGACCTATCCATGCTGCACACGTCTGAGTGTTCGCGCAATTTTGTAAGTCGCTGCGAATCTGTTCGTTTTATGCTCTTCTGGCTTTTCTTTCGACTCGAGACCCGCTCTGGTACAGGGGTAGCTTGGCGTGGACGGCTCTTCCGCCGTTTATTCTTTTTGGCTTTGTGAGCTTCGAGAGCCTCCTGGAAAACAACTGACTGTGGGGTGAGAGAGATGTTTCTGTACAGATCATCGACGAGCTCTCGAGCCCGAGGATCGATATATGGGTACGTGGCTGCACTTTTGGCCAGCGAATGGATCTCCTGGTGGTTATCGTCGTCGTCGTTGTTGTTGTTGTTGTTGTTGTTGTTGTTGTTGTTGTTGTTGTTGTTGTTGTTGTTGTTGTTGTTGTTGTTGTTGTTGTTGTTGTTGTTGTTGTTGTTGTTGTCCAAGTCAACGTCCGAGAAGTCATGGCTGCGGCGGCGAGGCCTTGCCTGTGGCTCTACGTCATCAGAGAGATTATGTGGAGACCGCCCTGAGTATGGGGACCTTTCTTCTTCGTGGTCGGCGACTTGCGACGCCAAAGTCAATGCTTCATGCAAAAGCCGTTCCAGCTCCCCAAAAGTCCTCTGGAAAAGACCTGCTTCAACCTTTGAAGGTGGCAGGGTATACTTGCGAGTCAATTTGCGGGAGACCGGGCTGGGTTCCGGTGAGTCTTCCAGTCGCATGTAGGATGACCGTTGAGACCTAGAAGGCAGCTCCGTCAGTCTCGCAGGCCGCTCTGGGTTCTTCAAGAGGTCGCGAATCCATTGAGCGGTTCGTTTGTAGTCAAGAGTTCCGGCCCTGGAGCGCGAGGCACTCTGGGCTCTGGACTTGTCGCTTTTCGGGGGTTCTTCATCTGCAGAAGCTTCAGATTCATCGGCAAAATACTTGTCCTGCTGGTCATCCTGCGCGAGATCAGTGTATGGCTGTACTTTCAAGGTCGGTGGGTGCCCTGGGGTTCGGTTCAACAAAGGAGGTTGGGCAACTGAACGAACTTTCGAAACCGGAATCTTCGTGTGCCCTCCTTGAACGTAATCCTAATCCGATATGGGTGATCCAATGACGCCGATCTTGGATTCCTGGTGCTCCTTTGACGAGTCGAACGGCCGCACCTTGGAAACACCCAGCGAAGCCTGTTGGCTGATGGTACTGACGGGATTGCCTGGGTTTGCCGGGTCGACTGGATAGTGGAAGGTGGGTGTGTTGAAGGCCGGCCGAACTTTCGTAGCACGACTATGGCCCTCCACTTTGGGAGGAAGTGTAATTTCGACAGTTGAGAGACAATTGTCGTCACCCGTCATGGCACGTTTGACACGCGCAAGAATCACCGTTGGTTCCGACTCCTTGGATGGGTCTGACTCATCGTCATCTTCATCTTCATCTTCGGGAAGCTGAGCCACAGGCTGGCCAGGCACTCCAGTGTCGCAAAAGTCAGCACCCTTCAAAAGACCTCGGTGATGGGCTTTGATGTGCGATTCATCGGGACGGAGCTTAGGATCAACGCAAATCCTTTCTCTGGGATGTGAGGAATCCGATTCGGTCGCGGAAGAGGTGCCTTCTTGAGAGTAGTTCCTGGGGGGAAGTGATGCCGTAGCTTTGTGCTCGTACCCCTTTTCCTCAGGCATCTTTTCCTTGACGACCTTCTGGAGCGGCTCGTCTGGGTTTATTTGCTGGCTCAAGACGGGAGGTGCGGGCAAGTCCCGGTCAACGACCATTAGGCGCCCAGAGCCAGTCTTGAGGAGCGCATGGCGGAAAACACCGCTCCGGGCAGACGAAACGGAATCGAAGTCTTGCTCCGACTTTTTCAGAGACATGTCGGCCATCGACGGGCGAAGACTAGGAGAAGGGGTGTTGTCAAAGTCGCCAGTCGCTTCGGCAGATGGGTGGAGGTTAGCTGTCTTGGTGGGATGGAAGAAGTTTGACAACATCGCCGGCTTCTTCTCGACGGGCTGGGGCTTCAGGGCCAGTTCGGCCTGAGGCGTGCAACAGAACTTGAAAAAGGACGTGGGAGTCGAGCTAGAGGATTGATCTCGTGTTCTTCTGCCCAATCTTTCAGCAGAGCCGTAACGTCGAAGAACGGATTCCTTGTAGGCCAAAGTGCTTGGGTCGGTCAGACGCTGAACCTCTGTGGGAGGAGTGAGGGACCGAGTCCTTTGGGCCTTGCGCATAGAATTCAGAGAGAATAATGCATCAACGGTTGAACGAATGTGGTTCCAATAAAGATGCTGGCAGGAGGGATATAGGGGGTCTTGGCAGTAGGAGAAAATGGTCCGGCGTCGAGGAATCGAGGAGGTCGGGGAGATGTTGTTGGGGAAGTGGACGGTCAAGTATTCTCAAATAAAGGCAGATGGTTAAGCAGACCCTCCTTAGAACCATCGAGCACTGTTCACGCGAGGCAATCGCTCTTGCTCTCTCAGCTCGTTCTACCGCAATGATAGCAACTGCCTAAGCTTCCAGCCAACCCGCTCCTGCCTCTGTGACCATCAAGACATGTACCTCGATGTATTGACCTAGAATGTGGAAGGACCGATGACATTTTGGCTCTAGTTGGAGACAGTGCGGGCTGCAGCACAATCTGTCTGGGAAGCCAAAGCCTTGCCATGCTAAAGAAGGGGGCCGCAATATTCTGCCAGCAACCCCCCGAGCTTGTCCCGATCTGAAAGTAATGCGGGTGTGTCCCATTGGAGATGGACTTCGGCAGACAGTCATTTGTACGCCGGCGTGTGACTCACAGTCCTTGCCCCTGAGTGAGGAGAAACAGGCCCGACTCGATCATGGCGAGAGAAGCATCGTGGTATGACAGGTGCATACAACGCATGTAGATCAAATACAAATAATGAAGAAATCTGATGAATAATCGATTATCTCCCTCTCATGAGAATGGTTTTGAATCCTTCGCCAGGCTCGACTTCAAAGCCCATCGGCGTCTGTAGATGGCCATAACCAGATGGTGAGTAAGATCTGGTCCTTCGGAATAACCCCAAAATGATGACTCTGGATTCACTCGCCGAACTGAGCATATGCAATGAGGACACTTTTCCGTGGCGTTGGTTTCGCCCAGTCTGATCTCTCTACTTGAGAACCTCAACGAGATAAGGAACAGCATGAGAACCCCTGAGATTGGCTGACGTTCGATTTCCTCACTCGAGGTTCATAGTGTGTTCTGAAGGTCGCCGTCAATTTCCAAGCCATGGCACTCGATCAAAGTGAATGGCGGCCAAAAATCAAGAATGAATTCAACATCTTTGTGTGACTGTGACCGCACAGAGTGAAGGTGAGCAAGGAGAAGATCATTCTGCACTGATGTGGAGTTTTCAGCAGCAAATTCTCTAGAGACACACCGGGGGCGTGCCGACGTTACCCCAGATCAGGCGGGGCCCCGGTCGGCGACAACCTGCGACATGCCTCGGCAACTCGGTCAGCGTTGTCAGCTCGAACCTCATCGCACTCGCAACCACAGCTGTCATCCATACTTTGCTTTTGAACATCAAGATTCAAACCCTGCATTCATCAGCCCAAGAGCCGCATTCGCAGTCTCTCGGCCTCCAAGTACACTCGCAAACCTTCACACCGCGTCGCATTCTCTCCACCAGCGGGACCCAACTCATCTCACCATCACAGGCCACCATCAAATCTCACTCCGACTCTCATCCTCCCGCAAAAATGGCCGCCGCCACGTTCAAAGACTACACCTACGAACACTTCCTCGTCACCACGCCGGCCCCCTTCGTCGTCCACGTCGAGATCAACCGCCCCAAGAAGCTCAACGCCTTCTCGGAGCCCGTCTGGCGCGAGTTCGGCCCCCTCTTCAACCGCCTCAGCCATGACCCCGACGTCCGCGCCGTCGTCCTCTCCGGCGCCGGCGACCGCGCCTTCTCGGCGGGTCTCGACGTCCAGTCCGCCAGCGAGGGCACCCTCGGCAGCGCCATCGGCGGGGACATGGACCCGTCCCGGTACGCGACCATGATGCGCCGTCACATTGTCGAGTTCCAAGCCGCCATCGATGCGGTAGAAAAGTGCGAGAAGCGTATGTTGAAAAAAATTCCCTGTCATTCATTCGCTACTATTTCCATCCCGTCCGATTTTCCGTTGCCATGTCCATGACAGAATGAGGAGAGACGACAGAAATATGTATAGCTAACATAATCGACAGCCGTGATCTGCGTCCTGCACGGAATCTCCATCGGAATCGCAATCGACATCTCATGCTGCGCCGACGTCCGCATCTGCGCACGGAACACGCGCTTCTCCGTCAAGGAGGTCGACATCGGGCTGGCGGCCGACCTCGGCACCCTGAGCCGCCTGCCCAAGCTCGTGGGCAGCACGTCGTGGGTCAAGGACGTCTGCCTGTCGGCCCGGGACTTCTCCGGCGAGGAGGCGCTGGCGGTCGGCTTCGTCAGCCAGGTGCACGCGGACAAGGCCGCCGCGCTCGACGCGGGGCTGAAGCTGGCGGGCTTCATCGCCGGCAAGAGCCCGGTGGCGGTGCAGGGCACCAAGGAGCTGCTGAACCATGCGAGGGATCACTCGGTTGCGGAGAGTAAGCACTGTCCCGAATCTTTCTTTCTATATTCGTCTTGTTTTCTATTCGTTTGATGAGTTGTCTACTGACCAGGGCACAAGGTTTGCGATACACCACCGTCTGGAACGCGGCCATGCTGCAATCAGGCGACTTCAAGACTGCCATGATGTCCGGACTGACCAAGACCAAGCCCACGTTCGCCAAGCTCTAGAACACATTTGCGCTGTTTGCAACTGCTAAATCCACCATAAACAACCCGGATTATTCAACACAGTAGATTCTTATGGCATGCTTGCCAGAACGCCGGGACACTAGCTGCCTTTGGGAAGGCACAGTCGCTATGTTGAGGGGGTTTCATCCCATCCCGATGTATTATAGAGCGTCGTCACGCCTCCGTGCCAGGTTGGCGTTGTAGTGTAGAGGGTCATGGCGGTCGTTGACATAGCCACGGTCACATGACGGTACGACGCAACGACAAAGGCAGATATAGAGAGTACGGGGATCTCCGGAAAGATATAATATAACCAACTCGTGCTCAAGCGATCGGACTTGTCGGCAGTTGCTCAATCAGAGTCTGAACTTTCGTCGGGCTGTTGCGTCTCCTTCAATTTCTGTAGGCAAGTCGTCAGCAGGTTGTCTCAAGTAAGCGTTGATGTGCAGCAATGTGCATCGTAAAGTGGGGGACTGCTCGTCTATGGTGGAACCTACATCGTCCAGCTGTCTCTTTAGCGCGGCGACCATGTTCTCCTTGACGACGACGTGCTGGTCGTCGAGATCCTCGATGATGTAATCATGGTTCGCAGCGTCGATGTTGACGATGATGGACTTGATGGAGGGGTCGCACTCGATGAGCACTCCTGTGAAAGTCGGAACGTCAGCAAATTGGGATACGGGTACCACATGGAAGGCTGCGGCGGGCGTTATGGTGCTCACCTCGGATGGCGCGAGGCATGGTGGGTGGATTGCGAGGCGGATGATTCCAAGTGTTTAGAGTTGCAGTTGTCGGTACGGCCACAGGGCGGATTCTCGCGTAGAGTTTGGCGGGAAGCGACGGGGCTGGAGTCAAGGTAAAACTGTCGCTGTTGTTTGTCGATGGCGGCGGCCGCGTGCCGGGTTGTTTCTGAGCCGCTGATGAGCTTGTGTCGCAAACGTGGCCGACGGGTTGACGTGGGTGGAATTGGATCGTCGACAAACAATTTGGAAGCTTCAAGACTGGGGTGGGGCCTTAGGCAGGGAAGCTGACCTCAGTCTCTGAGTGTGGTGGTCACTGGTGTCAGTGCAGGGGCCCGGGGGGGGGGGCTTCGAGGCCAGCCACTCAGAGGTGCGACACAAACTTTCCAACGGGGGTGAGAGAGATTTGGATCCTGGCGCAAGGGCCAATTTACGAGATCCCTGACATGACACTGGGGAAACGCAGCCAGTGACAGGCCTTCTTTTCTGTTCAGTGGTATTCACCTTTCACAAGATGATTGAATCTGCACTGGGCTGCAGCAGGTTGATGGATGAACACAAAGTTGTGGCCCCCACATCGCAAACATCGGACGTGTGTGGATGGATGATGGATCGTCAGGGATGCTGTGGACGGGCCCTCCGTGCGGTTCCCACCTCCACTCTATCGCCTCGTCCACTTTCAGTGATTGATTGCCGTCTCTGTCTGCGGCTGTCCTTTGGCCAATTTCTTCGATATTGCTCTCGCAGGTGAGAGTTGCGCCTGGAGATGCCGACGGCACACTTTCGACGAGGACAGCTACGAGTCGCGTCGGGACTTTTTGGGAGCATTTCAATTTGATCATGTGTGCCAACGGCCGCCAAGAAGTGGAACAAGGTTCGTCGAGTGTGATTAGACGTGTGTCAAGTTTCTTTTGACGAGGTCGATCGCCCTCGAAAATTCCCTCGACATTGCGCGCAGATTTCCGAGATGCGCGGATACCGAGGGACGTTTGTGAAGCTTCTCATTGTGTGCAGACAGGGCATCGTGGGTGGGTGTCCCCGAGTTGCGACGTGCGAGTGCGATTCGCAGCGGGCGTTCATACGAAGTAAGGTAGCAGAGGATGCCACAATGGAAGAATTTGCAAAGATTTAATTCCTCAGTCTGTTTGACAATCTGTACTCCGTCAGTGTGAATCGAAGCGAGTGTCCCTGAAACAGCCGCGATGTGCAGTCGTCGATAGATTGCGGTGCTAAGCCCGGCGGGATTTGAGATGCACGCCGTACCTAATTAGTGAACGGTGGATACCTTCCCTACACGGTAAGTACTTCACAGAGCCGCCATGCAGGGCGGTATCCGTACATGCAGGTACACTGGAGACTGAGATGACCCTTATCCTCGTAGCAGTGCATTCGGGTCCGGGTGGGCGAGGAGAGGAGCGAGGACGACGTGGATGTGAGAGAGAGTGCGGGTGCGATGCGTAAGCAGACACACGGCAGAGCACCAGAACAAATGTTGGGCTGGTATTTGACATCTCGCAGGAAAGTGATGTGCAGCCTCTAGTGGACCGGTTCATCCCTTCAGCGGACGTTGTTGCTAAACACGACACGGCTAGCGCAACCCATGACGTGCGACTCCAAAAAAGCCAAGCCCCGTCCCTGACGATTGGCACCCAGATTGGCAACCAGCCGACGGGGGTCATTTGCGACCCCAGGGCTCATTATCCAGCCTACCAGGTGAGGTAAAGATCAAATGCAACATCGATTTGCTATTCGTTCCCGCTCAGGTTGTATTCGTGAGAATACGTAGTATGCAGGCACGGGATAAATCGCCCCAAATCAAGTCCTGATCTCGTCGCAACGCCTTGTTCGTCCCATTCTTCAACAGCGTCGTTTCTCTCTCTCTCTCTCTCTCTCTCTCTCTCTCTCTCTCTCTCTCTCTCTCTCTCTCCCTCCCTCTCTCGTCTTCCCTCCTGCTTACCTCATGCTTTTCTCATCCTCCGAGCCGTTGACCGTGCTGCCTCATCTCTTGCATACCACCAACCTAATAATCCTATCTTCGTCCCTCGGCTGTGCCCTTTTCAGCTTTGCCCTGCCTTGCCTGTCTGCCTGCTTCCCTTCCTTTCGCAATCCTATCGCAATCGCACACGGCGTGCCAAAGACAGCCGCACTCGCACGCACGACGGACGCACAGCCCAAGGCCGTCAGCCATGCCACCGGCGCCCTAGAGACCAGACACGTCCACGCTACTAATTAATAGTGGCCTTCTTCGTCTCCGAGAGTTTGGAACACGAATGCATCGAATCAACCTTCAAGAGTCTGACGATATCCGGCCTAGCTCCCTTCGGTAGCCTGTCCAAGCTCGTTCAATCCAGCAGTATCCGTAACAACAACCTGGCCTGGTCTCGGTTGCTTCCTTCCTGCCCCTGCCGTTGGAATTCAGGTCTCAAATCCACTTTCACTTTCAAGACCTCCGCTATTGTTTGGCATTCGCTGCCAAATATCCAATATCTCCCCCGCCACCATTTCCCGCTTCCCCAAGACTCTCGCTCTTTCTTCTTGGTCCGCTCCCTCTCTCTCGTTTCCTTCCTTTTGCGCCGTCCCTCGTTTATTCCTCGGTCTCCCTGGTACGTCAAACACCAACCAACCCAGTCGGCCTCGAGATCTGCACCCACGCGAACTGCAATCAAGGAATTATTGGGCCCTGCATAACCCGCCCACATCACCGGGCAGGCACGAGCGGCAGCGCGAAGTCGACGCAAGCTTGAAGCAAGCCTTTCCCTTGTTCACCTAACGCCCGTCGTCCTCAAACCTTTTCTCACCAACGGTAACACCAACAACCCGTCTTCACCATCTTTCGGCTGCCCTTCTCTCCGATCCACCCAAGCTATTACTGCTACGGGAATCCAGACGAAACTAGCGAACCCGCGAAACTGAGCCACGCTATGAGGCCGTGAAAGCCCATCGTCGCTGCCTTTTGCATCACCATCGCTGCCACTATCCGTTCCCTGTTTCGCCCTCTGCGCCTTTGTATTACGCTCCAACTCGACACACCACCAGGGGTTCTTTCCCTTTCACAACGAGAATAGCCACAAACCAACCAACAGACAAACCAACAAACAAAACAGGGCTGCTTATCACCAACAAGCATCCCTGCCAGTCATTCACTGCGCCCTCTTACACGCCTACTTTGACTCTTCGCCGGGCTCGCCAACGACTTGGCTCGTTCGTTCCTTCTTGGTCAACCGGCACCTGCACCCCACGACACCGACCAGCACATCATGTCGTCCACGGACAGCAGCTCTCTGGGCAGTAGCGGCGAAGGCCTTGGCCTGTCCTCCGCACCCTACACCTGGATCCTCACGCCTCTCATCGTTTTCCTCTCCATCGGCATCCTCGCGACTCTTATCCAGTTCCAGCGTCGCCGCCGTCTCCGCAGGCTTGGACTGCAACGCCCGTGGCCCCGTCGCGATCTCGAAGCGAATCGTCAAAGAGCTGGAGGTCAGCGCTCATCGCGAAACGGCCGCTGGGCGTGGACCACCCGCCCCGACGAAGGTCTGGACGAGTTCGGCGAGGCCCCTCCTGCCTACGAGCCGAAAGCTAAGCCCGGTCAGGCCGTCACCCGGGATGGCAGCTTCGAGATGGCCCACGTCGAGCACATGCCCCCGCCGCCTCTCATCGGCGCGGCAGGAGTTGGCCGGGGCTCCCTACCCCCAGACTACGGCACGGCCACCGGTTCTACGTCTTCAACACCACCCACCATCGCGACACCGCCCACTGCGGTCACGAGAAGCTAAGGGCCGAAGCTCATCCTGGGAAGGCACGGAGCCCTCTCCCAACTGTATCAATTCCCAAATCATTTCAAGGCGTTACACGGAGGTATCAAAAAAGGGGCGTTCGGAATCGGGCAAAGCACAAGATACCATGTTTAATTTTTTTTTTCCCACGGGCATTAGCGAAGGAACGGTATTGCGAAAGATGAGATATCACGAGGATCAAGACGGTGGATGATCGAGGGGGGACCGAACAAAATGCGTGAGGGAGCACGCGAATAGCACCCAGCATAGGCAAATCGCCGCACTTCATGTCTGGTATAGCCACTACAGTATCTGTAATTCAGGCAAATCAACCAAACCTGATGTAAGCGATGTGCGTTTTCTTTTCCAGTGTACTTACTATCGTCCCTGTCGTTGTCATCTATTGTCGTGATCTCAACTTTCTTCGCTAACATCACCGGATGTAAAATTAATATCTGCTCGTCTAGCAATGTCCTGTTTGTTAATGGATTTTCTGATACGCCATTCTTTGAGAACCCACGTATTTTTACTGTGCCATGAGATGCACCGATCGATAGGCAGGCGTTTCCCTACAAGCATCGAATGTTTAGGGACTTAACTTACACGGCGCCAGGTCCATCCTAGCAACTTCTTCAGCCTCCGACTTCCCGATTCGGTGGTCCTTTGGTTCACCTCCTGATCACTGATATTCGCCTTACTTCTACATTACCAGTCACAACCTCAATTAGCTGGCCACGATGGAGAGATCGCATAACTTTTCTACGTCCGCACGGCCATATTTCCTCCATGCTTCATAGAATGAAGCCATACTTCTGTAGAAGAAACATTGCACAAGAGGTATGCTTGTGTGAATCAAATCATGCCGTTCGTTACGATGTAAGGTGGTAATCGAGACTTGTGTTGATTTACACCCCGTCGTTTTCTTGGCCATGCCATACGGAACTGGCTTTGAAGAAATCCCTTCTAACACCCTCCTGTCATCTCCGGCCACACTCTCCTCGAAACCCTAACTCTCAAGTCATCCTAGATATTTGTTAGTCAAGTTCGACGCACAAGCTACGAGTAGTGTACCGTACCTTCATTTGGGGGGGTCCAGGCCTATCGAAATCCAGCGCCTCAAAATCCACCGTCCGAGGCTGCTCAGGAGACGCCCAAGACACCTCGTAGCACCGAAGCAAGGTCGTGAGCACCTGCTCAACGACAATTGCCGACATCCCGTCGTCACCTTGTGCGGGCTTGACCTGGTCATCAGACGCAACGCCGCCGCTGCACACCTCGTCGAAGCTAACGAGCTTATTCTCAGCGTTGAGCCATCTGCCGGGCATCCAGGAGTCCGGGCAGGCGCCGTCCAGCCGGGAGGAGGACCGCACGTTCTCGTAGTACCGCTCCGTCTCTTTGATGCAGGCCTTCAGGAGGGAAGAGTCGTTCTCTGCGCCGCGGGAGTTCCTCTTGACGGCGTTCATGACGTCTGGGTGTCTCAAGAGCTGCAAAATGCGTTGTTGTCAGGCGCGGTGCCGGGAGGGGGGACAAACGGCAGGTTTGATACTTACGGAGATGAGGACCCAGAACACGGTCGAAGCAACACCGTTCTGCGTAAAGAGCATCAGGATCGTGTAGTGCGCAGGGAACAGATGCTTCAGCCCCGCCGTGCCGTCCTCGTCCAGGAGGAACGTGACGTAGTCCTGCCTGTCGGCCTCAATGGGCCCGCCGGCGACGGCGATGGCATCCCTGCGCATCAGCCTCTCCGTGAAGATATCGGCAACGCGCTCCCGTGCCCAGCGCAGCCGTCGCACGGCCGGGTGGGGCAGCCAGTCAGGAAGGACGGAGGCCCACGGCTCCCCGGCTTCCTCCTCGATGGCGCGCAGGAGCGTGCGGAGCTCATCGCTCGAGGAGTAGAAGTCGTCGCCGAGGAGGATCCGCACGGCGGCCTTGTGCGTCAGCTCGGAGACGCTGGCGAAGAGCGCCACGTCGGGTTTGGTCGTCCACTCGAGAGCGCAGCGGTGCGTCTCCTCGACGGCGCAGGCGGCGGTGTATTCTTGTGCCGGCGCGCGGCTGATGAAGCGCCGGAGAGAGCCAATCAGGCAGTCAATGTTTTGGATGTATTCTTCGTCAATGATCTTGTTGAGGAATATTCCCTGTGTGAAGAATTCGATACATGTTAGGTGCATTCCAGAAATGTCTCAGACGCAGGTTGAGGTGGCTTTCAGGGGTAGTAACTCTCACCATTCCGCGTGTCAACGATGACAATGTCTCGGGCATGTTCGCATGGTCCTTGTTGAGATCGCAGTTTTGAGGAATAAACTTCGTCGTCAACATGTTGCCGAAATGTGGTTTACGATCGGAGTAGGCGGGCCTGTATTGGCGACGCTGGGCGTCTACGGGGAGATGAAAAGAGCTATCATCTCTTGTGGTCGGTATTGTAATTGGCTTCCAGTACCACCTGAAGAAGAGGAAGACTGCCAGGACGACAAGAAGGATCAACGCCATGGTTGATGTCGGTGATCTCGTACCAGAGAAGACTCGTATATCGCTCCGTCTGTGAAGGCCGCGGCAAGTCAACGAGAGGCTCCGGAAAACACTCACACCGTCAGGGGGATCTCGCAGCCTTATATCGTCAAGAAGCCTCCACCACAAAAGCCCACGAGCGGACGTCCGGGGATGACGTGAGACAACTCTGTCTTGGCAATGTTGAGCTACATTTCAGTGATGGTTTTGAAAGGACCAAAATATCTTCGAGTTGGAACGAATCCACAGATAAGAGAACATATGGAGACTTGGAAGGGAAAACAAAGCACATCCCTGGCACACTGGAATGTGGCGACGTGGGATGTCAGACTTCCACCGAAAAAAAACATGGGTTCGGCGACGGACCAATTTTCTTTCTCGGGATGTAGTGGGTACCTTTCTCGTTGCAATAAAACGGAACGAATGTACTGAAAACTTTCTTCAGTCGTAAAGGGAAGATGTTGGATTGTTGCCTGTTGTCTGTCTGGACGGGAGTTGTTGTTCTATTGCCCATTTCCGTGTTTTCCGAGCCCTGCCATATGCTTTTGTGTTTCCCATCCATTCTACTTATGCCTCGACGAAGATACAGTAGTGTACAGACCCGGCAATCATTCTCGCCACGATAAGTGGTGTAACACAAGACTGCCAGGCTATGTCATAATACGCAAAACGTTGGTATCATACATGCTCATAGGACGTAACATGCTCAGAGGTGCCACTCAGGGAGAGCAAAGTTTCTGTTATTGGGCCACTTCTCAGTCCTGCAGAACAACAGCGTTAGCAAAAGATCACAATCACAACCAAGGAGATTCTTACTTAGTGGTCAACATGACCGTCATACGCTTCCTCCTCTCGATGGTCTCCTCCGCATCAACAAGACGAAGCCACTGATCCAGCAACTTCCTCAAGTCCTTGTCACTGCGGCCGGCGCAGTCGATACCGCGCTCTGTGCAGGCAATGCGGACCTCCTGCTCCTCGAGCCCGGCAACGCCGCCGCCGCGCAGCAGCAGCCTGTCGTCGCCCTCCAGGAACGCCATCCTCAGACGCCCCTTGGACGCCCACATGCCCGGCGGGATGAACCCGATCTTGTCCCACATCATGCCGGGCAGGTGCAGGCTGCGCAGCACGTGCTTCTGCGCCGCGCCCTTGACGTTGCCCTTCACGACGCCCTCCGGCGCGGCCCGCTCAAAGTCCTCAAACGACTTGTGCCGCCTCTCCTCGGCCTGCGCGAAGCTCGCGGCCAGCTGCCGCGGCAGGCGGCAGGTGTAGGGCACCACGCCGTCGACGAAGATGACGATGAGCGGGGTGAATTCCCCACAGATCAGCAGCACCACGCCGAAGAGCGGGACGCGGAGGATGTCGTGGCGCACGCGCCAGAGGAGCACCCAGTCCGCGCGGCTGAAGCCCTCGGGGACCAACCCCGGGGAGAAGACGGAGGGCTCACGGAAGCCCGGGACGGACTTCTTCTTGGAGGCGATGACGTCTTGGATGTGCCGCCTGTTCGCGAAGACGGCACGGAGGCCGCCCTTGTAGAAGTTGATGTACGTCTTGGCCTGCGCGAACAGGTGGGAGACCTTGCTCTGGTCGGGCTGGCGTTCGGGGAGCTCGAGGGGCGCCGGGCGGGAGGTGGCGATGGGGTTGAGCTTTGGGTTGAGGACGGCCGTCGAGCTGGCATCGTGGCTTCGTTCGGAAGTGAGGGAGCTCGCGAGTCGGCGGTAAGAGGTCGTCGTCGTCGGCTTCACTGCGAAGGACAGGAAGGGCGAATTGGTCGAGCAGCGGCCGCAGAGAAGGGCCGAAGCTGACGGGTTGCGCATTACGCGCACTGTCGTCCTATGGTTCATTGCATTGGCGGTGTGGGGGTTCTGCTTGGTGTATGCGGAAAGTAGTCGTGGGCTTGAGCAGCACGGGGAATTAAAGCTGTCCTGAATATCGAAATTTAGGTAATCAGAAAAAAAATAGAACGGGGCCTTGGTTTCGTCACTGATTACCTACGTAGCGTGGAAAAGCTTATCGGTTATCGGCGCACGCGTGGGTGTGCCTGCGTCGGCCCCGCTTCGCCTGCAGCTCCCGCCGTATCGGATCCGGGGAACGGTCGGCCAGAGCCGAACCAAGCTTTCCTGCCGCTCTTGGCTTATTCGTCTAGATTATTGGAAAAGGATGGTCCTTTATCGCTTCATGTCGATCATTGGTGCTGCTGCGCTCTTGAGCTCAGAATGAAGATATAACTGGTCGGAATTGCTCGTCCCTTGAGACCCGAGCCCAACGGTATAGCCCCATCTCCGTCGACAAAACCAACAGTGCGACAGGATCGGGGATCGCCCAATTGGCATCTGCGACCTTATTTTAACCAGTCCAAATCAAACATCCGTATAATTTTCAAGTTCGCCTGCTACAAGAACACGACACTTGCTGGTGCTATCACCTCCGCAACACTACCATTATCTGAACCACTAATACCAGAAGCGTATAGAATAATTAAAGTGTCCCTGATTCGCAGTTTCTTATTTTCTCTTCCCCTTTTGCCAGCGAGAATAGCAGACAGTGCAAACCTGCAGCAGTTCCTCACTCAGGACCCTGCCCAAACCACCTCCTAAACCACCCTACAGCCTGATCCTCCGCCCGCATTCCCAAGTCGGCCTGCCTCTCATCATTCGGATCCCCCCTCACCGCAAACCCGTGCTTGGCCCCAGCATATTCACAAACCTCGCAATCCCCCTTCTTCCCCAGAATATCCTTCGCCAGCGCCATCTTGGCCCTCGGCATCATCATGTCATCGTCCCCGTTGGCGATGCTCAACGGCAGCGCCACCTTCTCCAGGTCCCCAGGCACAGACACCATGCTCGGGTGCGCGGTGTACGCGATATCAATCAACCTTTCCTCGCCAAACGGCCCGGCCGTCCCTTGCGCCAGCTGGATCGCGTACTTGCCGCCCCAGCAGAAACCCGCGACGCCGATCTTGAGGCCCTTGGCCGCCGCGGACGCAGACGTCTCGCCGCCGGCCCCGTCTGCGGAGGCGGATGTGGACGTCGACGGGCGCGGCAGCGGAGACGGCGGGTCGAGACGGAGGGCGCGGAGGAAGTTTGCGATGCGCGGGACAAGCACACCGGCGCGCGTCGCGAGGAGGAGAGGGACGAAGTAACGGATCATGGTGGCGGCGCCGACGGGGTAGAGGTAGAAGAGCTTGTACGGCCACGACTTCTCGGACGCGATGCGGTCGCCGACGGTGAGGACGGAGTCGGGCATTGCGTAGCCTGCGTTATCGTCAGCGCATGCTGTACCCCTCACCTCCACGCCCGACCTGGTTCAAACGTTCCACTAGCAATCAGGAGGGGATGAGAGACTAACCATTCATGACCTCGGGGAGCAGCACCACGGCCGGGATCCTCTTCGCATACGCATCGGCGAGGGCTCTCGTGTTGCGCAGCTTCCACCCAAACACGTCCGGGATGACGACCACGATCCCGGCCGGCTCGCGCCCCGGCTCCGGGCGCGCGACGTACGTCGTCAGGCCGCTGACCGTCTCCTCCGTGCCCTGCGGCTCGACGTCGCCGCGGAGGGTCCCCTTGAAGCAGTCCGAGCAGAAGCGAGGCGCCTGCGAATCTGACATTGTTTCGGTCCGTTTTGTTTCGTTTCCTCACGCGTGCGTCCCGCTCTCTTTCAGCTTTGATGGATTCTAGTGTCCTTGTGGAATAAGGATCAGCTCCCGGGAGGAATCGTGGAGCGCGGACGCTTGAACAACTCTAAAGTCGAGAATAGATTGCGTGATCCCACGGCGCTTCACCGATTAGTAAAAAAGTCAAAATGGTATGGCTTTCCTAAGAGAAAGAGCAGAGTCATTGGGGGAAAAGCTGAGATGAAGTAGCACCAATATTCTCTGTGAAGATCGATCGCCCTCCCCCCGTCCGTCCGTCAGGGCGCCACCAGATCGCATTGTCTGTGCAGAGGAATGAGCTACATCGCCACGGTAATGACGGCACACGCGCGCGCAAGCGGATGGTTGTCAAAAGGGGGAATAGGTTTCGTCCGGTGAGTGTATGTGCCCGGGAAGTCTAGCTTTAGCTAGCCTCTCCCACCAGAGATAAACCGCGTCTCAGGTCTGGCGCGGGGTTTGAAGCAACACACAATCTCACCTGTCTCTGCTATTGCTGCTGCTGCTGCCCACCCAACGCGCGGACGTCATGTCCATCACCCGAGCTGTCGCAGGATTTCCGATCTTGCACTAGCCGGCGGAGATTTCTCCGGTGGGAGACTCCCTGAGCAGAAAAAGCAAGAGGTTTGTTTTCGGGTACTGCAGGCCAAACACACCTAACCCAAGAGTTGCCGCGACGGTAAGTTGTAGACGTCCGTGCCGCGCATCACATTCCATGCGCTATCTCACCTTACCTAGTTGAGGTGTTAGTGTGAGAAGACAGTCTGCTTAGCAAATCGTCCCCCTCCCGGGATGGGTCTCCTTCACCGAACTCACCGAGGTCTGACGTGATTGGGCAGTGGGATTTCAACACACATTTTCACCGCGGATTTCGGATGAGATGAGGTGAACGACCACTCATTCACTTCGCGATCCATTTTCTCTGTATACACCCTCCCACACGGAACATTTGCTTGCTTCTCATTTCTGCATCTTCACAATCCACAATTATCTCACACAAAATAATGGTGCGTCGTCTCGGTGAAGAAGGGAAAAAAAGATAAAAAAGCCCTAGACTGACACACCGAGGTGACTCAGGTCCACGCCGACGCATCCAACTTCGCCAACGGCGTCACCAAGGAGGAGGCCTACGAGCAGGTCCTCCTCCAGGCGGAAGGTCTGTTCTACGAGCAAAGAAACTGGGTACGTTCGTTTCCTCCTTCCATCTCCAAATGCTTTCTCCCTTGCAACCACGGACTAACGCTTTGATAAAGGTCTGGTACGTCAAGCTGCCCAAAATCTCACCATACTCAGTAACATCTTAACTCACCTAACCAAACACAGCAACCTCTCCAACACGGCCTCCCTCCTCTGGCACGCCTACCACTCCCTCCCGGCGCCCTCCACCTCCGTCAACTGGGTCGGCTTCTACGTCCTCGACCCCAAGGCGCCCGCCTCCAAGCCCGCGCTCATCCTCGGGCCCTTCCAGGGCAAGGTGGCCTGCCAGACGATTCCCTTCGGCCGCGGCGTCTGCGGCGCCGCCGCCGCGACCCTGCAGACGCAGCTCGTGCCCGACGTCGACGCGTTCCCGGGCCACATCGCCTGCGACGGGGATAGCAAGAGCGAGATCGTCGTGCCCGTCGTCGTGGACGGGAAGTTGGTCGCCATCATCGACGTGGACTGCGCGCTGGCGGACGGCTTCGACGAGGTGGACCGCGTCTGGCTGGAGAAGCTGGCTGCGCTGCTGGCGGCGAGCAGTGACTGGTGAGAGGAGTGAGGTGGCATGAAGTGTGCATGGCGTCGTGGGATGAGAGAGTCACAAGAAGGGGGTGAGGTGTTCGAGTTTTTTTTATGTCAGGGCAAGGGAAAAGTTTTCAACAGTTCGGCGATTTCGGGGTCATTTCATCAATGACGGTTTTGATATCATTATAGACGGGACACGTTCGGGAATAGAGCCTAGGCTAGGGGGTCTCAGGCGACGAGAAGAGACAGTTGATTCAATAAAATTTTCATTGAACGCGCCCGGAGTCAACCTCCGCCACAAACTAAACTTTTTTATAGAGTATTTGGCGACATCTTTGTTTTCAATCTACCAAACAAATCTATTGAGATCTCCGACCAAAGTCCGTAATTGGCCACTTAAAAGCGTTGCCTCCCCTAAACCATTCTATACCGAACCCAGCCTCATGATACGACCGTTTTCCCTTCTTTTTCATCCGTTACTTCATCAAAAGAGGACGACAACTCTTACTCCAGAGCCTTCTTGGCAAAGTTGGGCAGGATGAAGGCGGCCTTGTGGATGTCGGCGTTGTAGTACTTGCATAGCTTCTCCTCCTCCTCGGGCGACCACTTGCGGATGGGCTCCTTGACGTTGCGGTTGGCGTCCTTGGTGCAGACCATGAAGCCGATCTGGCCGGAGGGGTAGGTGGGGATGGTGGTGTAGGCGTACTCGGCGACGGGGAAGATCTCCTTGCAGTCCTTCTTGAGCTTGGTGATGAGGGACAGGTGAAGCCACTGGTTCTCGGCTGTGCGGGTTGTTAGCTAGTCCCGTTCTTGGTACACGGATGGGCGGGGGATTTGGTTTAGTTCAGAGCACCGCGCTAGAGAGACAGAGAAGTTGATTCCGTCGGAAAGTAGAGTCTCGCAACTCACGACTTAGCAAAAGACAATGACAAAGGAGAGACCCTCATGGTAGAGAGAAAATTAAAGAAAAAGCGTATCCAGGTTTCAGGCAACCCAGATCTCGCCAGCGGCCACTGGGCGCGCTGGGGGAATTTCTTGGGATGAATCGAGGACAGGCCAAAGAAAGAAGAAGCAGGCAAGTTGAGTGCCTGGTGCTGTTTCCTAAAACCGAGTACTTCCTTGATTCTCCTCGTATTTTTCTGAACAAATGGGAACGTACAACCTTGGGTAGTAATGACACCGCCCTCACGCAGAGCGTCGTGGAGGAGCTGGAAGTAGGGCTTCTGGAAGAGGGACTCGGCGGGGCCCTCAGGGTCGGAGGAGTCGGTGATGATGACGTCGAAGGTGTTCTTGTACTCCTCGAGGAACTTGAAGCCGTCGCCGACGTGGGTCTTGGACTTGGGGTGGTCAAAGCCGACGGCCATGCCGGGGAGGAACTGCTTGGAGAGGCGGATGACGGCCTACGAGGGGCTCCGTGTTAGTGGGGCCGAGCCGGCGCGCGGGCGTGCGCGGGGATGACCGAGATGAAGCTCACCTCGTCAATGTCGCAGAGGATGGCCTCCTCGACGGTGTCGTGCTTGACGACCTCACGGAGGACACCGCCGTCACCGCCACCAATAACAAGAACCTTCTTGGGGTTGGGGTGAGAGTTCATGGCCAGGTGAGTGATCATCTCCTGGTACGAGAACTCATCACGCTCGGTGCACTGGATGACGTTGTCGAGAACCAGGACCATGCCGTGGTCGGTGGACTCGAAGATGAGAACATCCTGGTACTTGGACTTCTCGTGGTGGATGACCTTCTTGACCTTGAGGGTCATGGCCTGGCCTGGGGGAAATCATCAACACGCGAAAAGAAGCCGACGATGCTCGAGTAAGTCGACTTACCAGGCCACATGTCCGAGATCTCACGGAACCAGCCATCTGTGTAATTTTGCAGTGTGATTAGCAAAGCGGTCCCGACTCATTTGGTTTGTCGTGATGAATGAGTCGCCGTGATTGTTTTCCCAGAGGTCTGAGCTTGCCGAAATGTCCACTGCTTCTGGCCGCCCACTGCCGATCCTCCGAAAGTGCCGTCGCCGGAGGAATTGGGAACCGATGTGGCAGAGGCCCAGATGTCACCTCACTAAGAGGTTATACGACAGTCGATCAGCATCGATGGATGATGTTTCTCCTGAGCAATTGCTTAACCGAGAGTGGCATCAAGGGTAGCGCATGTGCGCTCAGACGGTGGAGGAGGCAGGCCTGGTGAAAGGCTCGTTTGCACGCCCGGGACCGGAAAGACAAGCCACCCGTCAATAGTCGCGCGGGAGGTTGTTGAGACTTGGGAAAAAATCGACAGGTCGACCGGGTAGATGGTGACTGGGCCGAAAAGCGCGTTCCATCAACGAGCCAACGGGTGGAACGAATGAGGCTCCCGCGCAGCCAACAACCCCATCGGAAATGTTTCCGGCTGCCTGTCACGATGATAAAGGAGGCGAAGGTCGGGGAGATCACAACATCGGTCTGCTGGGGCCCCTCGATGGTTGAGAGACGAGCAAAACTCGAAAGGGCCTGGGCTCCGGCTCAAGCTCGGTAAGGGGAACGCAGGCGGCGGCAGTGGTAGCGGCGGCGGCGGCGGCAGCGGCAGCGGCAGCAGAAGACACTGATGACAGACGACCGATGATGACAAGAGATAGAGGGAGGGCTCAGGAGGAATGGTGGACCGTACGTACCTTGGATGGTAGGATGGGTAATTTCGCTCATTTTCGCAAAGGACGGGGGTTTTGCAGGGCTACTGTGTAGATATCGACAAGTCAACGACGGGAGCAAACGTCTTTGTTGCAGGCGGAAGCTAGGTATTATATGGCGGAAGGGGAGAGCCAGGACGGGCAGTGGTTCTTACGGGGTCGAGTATGTATGTGTATGTACGTGTGTTTTCGTTTTTTCCCTTCCTCGTCCTGGTATCGGGCTGAAAATGTGCGTTGACGTCGAGAGGGGACTCTTTTTTTTTCTTCTTTTTTTTTTTTTTTTTCTCTTTCTTGCTCCCCCGCCGTTGTACCAGTGCGGTGCGCCAATCCAAGCCAATCGAGGAGCGGCAGCGGTAGCGGTGCGGTCCAGAGCGGCGTCCAGGTGGTGCGGTGCGGTACGGTGCGGGCAGGGCGACAGCGAAAATCAGGAAGAAAATTTTTGTGGCTCCGGGGTGGCCTCGTTTTGAGATTTGGGACCCAGAATTAGACTCAGGCAAGGCCAATGACTGGCCAGCCCGTGGTTGGGGATCCCCTCTTTGGCAGCTTCTTTCCTCCTCGTTGCGGTCATCAGTGCGCTGTTTCCTGGTAACCTGCCGCCGCTTGCTGCCAGGCGGCGACGACGCCGTGTCGTGTTTGCCCTATCCAACTTGTGACGAGTCCTTTTTCACGATGCCCAGCTAAGGTAAGGCACGGATCCGTAAGGTCCATATCGCGTCGGGTATCATGTTACTTCCACGACCGTGCCTACCTTGTTGCGGTCTATACTTGCGACAACTTACTTGACCTTATTTCGCACTCCTTGCCCGCCTTAACAAGTTAAGATAGGCAGCTTCGTCAATATGGGTCAAATGCGCTCGCTAGAGTCGCTACTAGCCACTGACACCTGTCATGTAGGATCGCAACTAGGTAAGGCAGGGACGAATAACCGATGCCCGTCAACGGATATCCCGTACGTACGTCAGTGTTCGTACCCTATGTCGCATTGGAAGAAGATCCGTCTTTTCTCCATCGCTCGCTACCTTTCCCCCGGGCCATGTTATGTCTGCACCCGAGATGCGAGAGGTATTCATCCGCAGCAATAACCAGGTAAACCGTCTGTGGTTGTGGTCGAAACTTGGGCAAAGTCCTGCTGCACAAACCCCAACGTAAGGCAACGCAGGGAGAGCTGTTTCTGAAGAAAACGTGGCGAGCTGGGATCACCAAGCCAAAAACTCTGTTTTTTCTTCTTCTTCTTCGTCTTCTTGCTTTGCCGCCGTTTCTTCACGTCAATTCCCGCTCCACAGGAAAAACGAGGCGCCCCCACTCCCTCACCGGCAATCAACGGGCGTACCTTTTCTCTCCTGTCTCTGTTGTGAGGGGGAAGGAAGATCGTCGTCCCCCCCTCCCCGCCATCAGATGTGACAGCCTATTTGGTTTGACAACCCGGGGGAGACGAGACGAGAAGAGACCAGACAAAACGAAAGCGACCAGTGTCGGTCTAGCTTGCTCACAGGCTTACGAAGTCCTTCGGATACTGCGGACTCATACGCCTGCCGACGAAACCTGCCTGGCTTTTGCGGAATGCTCCTCAGCAGTGCAAATGCCTTCACTGGGGTTGTGAGTCTCCAATGCCCCTCCCTCTCGGGTTGAGCGCTGCCATGTGAGAACCCAGACACTCTGCGTCATTCGCCCGGCAGGAGAACCGTCAATGCTCCGGGAATGGGGCCACAAAGCTGCTTGTCTTGCTCTCGTGCAGCCGACTGAGACAAGGCGAGGGCCGGAGACTACCGGCCGAGCCCTTCCGCCGTGCCAAACTGAGGCCCGACATCATGCATGGCCATCACCCCTGCCACCTCGCCCATTTTTCTTTGTGCCAGTTGCCTTTGCTACCCACAACCGGAGTGCTGCCGCCGCCCCTCCGCGGCTGCACCAGGTCCAACGTAGCAGCAGCATGCAAGACATGCCAATCCTTCAACATCCACCGTCCTCGGCCGACCGCACCGCACCGCACCGCACCGCGACCTTGTCGCGTGCGCCAGAATCAACCCAAAGTCAGAGGACCAAACTCTCTCGTCCCGACTCCCGCCCTTCATTTTTGCCTCGCGACCCGATCGTCTTGTTGCAGTCGGCTCCCTTCGCTTAGCCCAATCTCTCACAGCCAAACACTCCTTCTACTTGCTCCAAGACGCGTCAGATCTGTTGCGACGCTTAACCTTCATCGCTTAACCTGTCTGAATACTTCCGACGGCCAAATACAACGCCTTTGCGGTTCACAGACGGGATGATCGGTAATGGCACCCCAAATCTCGCCTGTTTCCGTCTCCAAATCTGACCAGAGTTGCTTTGCTACTGCATGAACTGAAATGCTGCCCGGCAGG